AATATCGAACACCTAAACTCTAAAGACTTTACTCAAAAATAAAGACTTTACTCAAAAATACAAAACAAAAAAGAGCTTTATAATGAATATTGTGTAAAAGAAACAACATTTTTTGTGTTCTTGTAAAATATATAATATTCATGTCAAATACTTTTGATATCAAATAATGATTATATCGTATACATTAGTGTGTGAAAAAAATAATACAAAAATATTGACAAAAGATAATAATAAATTTATAAAATGAAGAGAAATAACTACCATTTGATTTAGATGTTGATACATAGTTGTGTAATATATGATACTTTATTTGCATTGTTCAATAAAAGAATGAGTATTTGAATCATTGATCATGATTTTGATAATTGTCACATAAACTAAATTATTTAACTTGAATAAGCATAAATCTTTCATATGCTTATATTACAATTCATATAAGACGCCAATAAATGAAACAAAACACATAAACAAAAAGAGTACAAAAATGAAAAGTATAATAATTTGAAAATATTAGCAACAAAAAAAATTAAATATAAAAACATAAAACGCTAAGAACAAAAAAACAAACTAATATCAACCAACAGACTCATCCTTCATGAACATAGCAACACAAATAAGTTAAAATAGAAAGGAATGAACATAGCAACACAAATAAGTTAAAATAGAAAGGAAAACGATAAAAATATTGAAACATTGAGACATAGAATTGCCAAATATTGAAACTTTCAACCATTGAAGATAAGAAACTCTAATGACAACAATGAAAATCCACTCGATCTCATTGACATCTACAAAAACAAAACTAAAACATATTAAGGATTGATAAAAGCAAAACATAAAAAAATTACCTCCATAAATCCAAGACTTGCTTTCTCTTGGCAAGGTTTAGGTTCAGTAAGATCAATTAATATAAAACTAGGTTTTGGGTTTTTCATTCAAACTAAGCTTTGACATGATTAATAGAGGTAGTGTGAGGAAACTGAAAATCTTCAAACATTCTCTAATTGTTCTTTCTTTCTAAACAAGGTGGTAGTTAGTATTAATATCCCAATTCATTCAATTACAAGTAATAATTCACAACCTAACTTCCTACATATAACTTACAATGCAAAATATCACAAAAAAAATATGCATAAAAATTAATAGTAAAACTTGCTTTATAATTTACTAACAAACACACATTTCATCATGAAACAGTGTAACAAATTAAGCAAGCATCAAGAAAGCCAAAAGACTAAACCAACAACGTACCAACAAAAGAAAAGATTGCTAAAGGAAAAGCACTTGACAATTTCTTGATTTTAGGGCATGGACAATTTTGGAAGCATTCAAATAGAAATAAATTAGGAAAGCATTAGCTGTTGCTGCCTTCAAACATGATCCAATGGAGAAGAGATGTATTTTGTATACAAACATGGGTCTAATCATGATGTCGACCTCGTCGAAAACAAGTTAGGAAGGGAAGGATCCCACACAATCCATTGAGCTTAAAGAAATTGGAGGCTTGAAAGAGAACATGGAATCGGGTAAACTTTTAGGAAAGATGAAGAGATCGTGGGTTCTTTTTGGAGTGAAAGTGAGGAAAGAGAGAAAAAGAATGGGAGAGAAACAAAAAGAGAGAATAATAAAAAGGGAGAAAAAAATCAAAGACTCATTGAACAAAGAAACAGAAAGGAAAAAAACCCAAATCTTCCCTCAGAAATCCAAAAATCACAAAAAAAAAAAAACCATCCTCAAAACACCCTTCATGCAACAAGCAATTTACAATTCCACGTGTCAAACGTTAAAGGCCCTTCAGAGGCTAAAATCATAGTACTTTAGATAACTATAAAATTTATTTCCATATTCGCTTCAATGAAGTAAATCTTTATCTTTTACCTTTGATGGTAACAAGTGAGATGACTACATCTTTTTCGGAGTTTTAAGACACAAACTATAAAATATTTAGGCATAATACTTGAAAAAACTCCTAAATTATTCAAGAAAATTCAAATAAGCTTTTATTCTTCTATTATGCCGAATCAAGCCAATGTACATTTATTTTAGGTTAAATAGACCCTTATAACTAATAATTAATCACTTGTCATTAATCAAAATATCACTTGTTATATTATAACCATATAATGGTGATGTGATATTGAAGTGAAGAGTGAAAGTCATAAGGTCATATCATCATGTCACATCAACATGTCATGTCACCATTTATTATGATATGTTAGCATGCCGTGTCAATGTCACATGATGTAAAAATAACAAGTGATATTTTAATTAATAACAATTCATCAATTATTAGTTATAAAAGCCTATTTAACTCAAAATAAAAGTAAATTGAAACTTGATTGAAAGCAATAAAAGAATAAAAGCTTATTTAATTTTTTTTGAATAATTAAAGATTTTTTTTAAGTATTATGTCAAATATTTACGATCTAGCAAGCCAATTGTAATAAGGATTGGTGGTCAACATGTAGATATAGGGATGTCAATGGGGAAGGTACCTTAATCCTAACTTTGTTATTGATAGGATACTTGAATCCTTTAAATACCTAATTAAATTTTTGTATTGTTGCTTGAACTTGTACTCATATCTATATCCATACCTGAATATTCTAAATATTACTCGTTAAATACATATACCCATTAAATACTTGATTCAAATAAATTTAAAATCAATTTTTATGTATATTATTAAACAAAACTAAACTAATAAATTAAAATTTGAAATCAATATTTAAGACAATTAATGAATGTTAGTAATACATTAATTATAAGAAATTTATAAAAAATAATATATAACTAAAATTTAATAATAAAAATAATTATTTATAATCGAGTTCAAATAATAAACATCCAAAGGTCCTTACTTGAACCCTACTCAAACTCATGACAGGTAGTAGTATACTACCCAAGCTCTACTTGAACTTGATTATCGGGTACTTTAATATTATTTAATTGGGTCGAGTAATGTAGGAAATTTGATTGTAAGATACCCATTGACATTCCTATGTTGATCTGTCATTGTTATTGAGCAAAACATGTCATTGATGCATTGAATCCTTCTTGTAAGTGATTAGATTTAGTTAAAAACATTTTAAATTGGCACAACCATTGATAAGATTATATCATTTATGTAACCTCTAATGTCATAACAACCAAATCAAGTTGTAGAGAATTAGATTTGAAATTTGCATATAAAAAATTTATGAATAATTAGTTGACCATAAATCACAAATGATTACTTGGCCATAAATCACAAGCATTGGAGATGATTGAAAATGATCAACAACAACCTTAATTTAATGATTTTCTGTGCAAGGACAAGATTGAAATTTCAAGGAAAATGTGGAGGTAAAATGTCTTAAAAACAATATATAAGACTATAAGTTAGAATATAGCATTTTAGTTAAAAATGACGGTCGTAAAAATAATGGTTGTAAAATTTATTACCATAGCTTTTCGTGAAGTAAATATTTATCTTTTACGTTGATAGTAACAAATGAGTTAACTACTCTCTTTTCATAATTTGAAAAGACCTACCACAAAATATTCTATGACAACATAACTAGCTCCAATAGTGATTGTCTGTCAACATGTTAACTGTCATTGTTAATGAGTAGAACATGCCACCAGTACACTGAATTGCTCTTGTAAGTGATCAGATCTAGTTAAAGGTGTTATAGATTGACAGAGTCATTGATAAGATTATATCATTTATGAAACAATCTAATGTTACAACAACCAAATTGAGTAGTAAAGAATTGGATTTTGAATTCACATATAAAAATTATTGAATGATGAGTTGACCATAAATCGCAGCAACTGGAGATGATTGAAAATGATCATTGACGACCATAATTTGGATGATTTTTTAGCTAAGGATAAAGATAGAAATTACAACCAAAATATGAAGGGTAAGGGCTACCTTAATTTTTTGGGTAGGCTAGAACACAACATTTTACTACAAAATGATAATATCTTTGTTTTATGGTAACAAATGAGATTACTATTTCTATTTTCATAATTTAAAAGGTCTCATTAAAACTATTCTACTGTCTAGCACAATCAACTGTAATAGAGATTGATGGTTAATATATTGATTTATCTTTGTTGATGAGCAAAGATAAATTATTGATTTAGTAGAAAAAGCACTCAAAGATAAATTATGTGAGTAATGCATCAAAAGTAAAGATATTGAGCAAAAGATCATGAAATTATGGCTACTTATAAAACAACATAAACAATCAAAGAGAAAAAAAAAAAAAGGTAAAAAGGTTGTTGCATAAAATCTATGTTAAAGCAAATTAAATAGATAGATGTAAAAAATTAAGAAGAATATGTTTTTCAGAGTTACTATGCTAAAAAAGGATATCTATATTGATTCGCTAACACATGACAATATTTGTGAAGACAAATTAGAAAATTTGAAACAGTTTATAGTTAAAATTAATCTTGTAAAGTTGTACCTTATAAATGTTAAAATCTTTTGAGCAATTACGTAGTTGTGTTATGGTGAAATTATTTTTTTAAGTTTAATATGTTAAGTTATCTTAATTTATGAAATTATATTTCTATTTTAAGACTTATATTTTGTGTAGATTTGTCTAGTCTAAAAATAGTTATATTTATTTAAATTATTTTTAATTATTGAAAATTTTTTTATGTGGAGCTATCTTAGTCCAAAAAATTGGTACTTTTATCTTTTTTTTAAAAAAAATATTTATATTAATCATTAAAATTCATATTAATTTTAGGTTATTTTTTTTAACCTTTCAAAAAACATAACTTTTTACATATGGAAGTAGTATCCGTTTAATACATTTTTGATATTTTTTTTAGTAATTCTCCTATTTTGGGCCTCCAGAGTATTGGCCCATTTCAGTTTGGATATACATATATGTACAAACCCACTCCTTTTACACCGTCAGATTGCTAGGGTTAAGTGAACAGCCGTCAGATCTAAACCAGAAGCAGTATATAAATATGCTGCAGTCGAGAAAAACCCTAAAAAGAGGGCTAAAGGGGGTTCATTCTTCTTTGCGCCGATCCTCCACCATCTCTCTCTCCCCAGCCACCTCCAACCGAAGGTCCTCCGCTTATTTCCTTTCATTTCTTATTCTCATTTTTTCATTTCCTCGTTATAATCATTTGACATTTTGGTTTGTATTTGCATGAAATTTCAGGTAAGTCATGGTTAAGCATAACAATGTTATACCCAATGGCCACTTTAGGAAGCACTGGCAGAACTATGTGAAAACTTGGTTCAATCAGCCGGCAAGAAAGGCCAGAAGAAGGATTGGTGGGTCTTTTGTCACTATGGCTTTTCTGTTTTGTTTTCCTGTTAAGAGAATTAGTGGCTAAAATTGACGTGTAATGGGGTTTTGGGATTTCCAGCAAGGCAAAAGAAGGCGGTAAGGATCTTTCCAAGGCCAACTTCTGGACCTCTTCGCCCAATTGTTCATGGCCAGACTTTGAAGTACAACATGAAGTTGAGAGCTGGCAAGGGTTTCACTCTTGAAGAGCTTAAGGTATGCTGTTTTATTTTCTCCATTTCTTTTTCTTTTTATTTGTTTTGCAATTTTGGGTTATTTTTAGAAGGCCTCGATCTCTTAAGTGTAGTATTTATTCTCAGTAATTGTAGAACCTTGATTGAACCTCGATCTCTTAGGATCTCTTAACTTCCTTTGAACTGCTCACACTAATTTCAAGTGAGTAAAGAAATATTTTGTCTCTCTGCCTATGAGAACTTTAAATATTATTAACGCCTTTATCGGCAATCAAGTTTAAAATTGAACAGTTAAGAATTAAAATAATCAATGAATTCTGCCGGTTCTTTTATAAATGTGTATAGGGATCCGTGTTGCAGATATGATGGATGAATTATAATTCCCACCTGCTGTAGTTTGCATGTGCTTGTAACGAATGTGACACTCATCTTATTTTCTAATCAGGCTGCTGGTATTTCAAAGAAACTTGCACCTACCATTGGTATCGCAGTTGATCACCGCCGTAAGAACCGATCACTTGAGGGTCTTCAAGCCAATGTTCAGAGGCTTAAGACGTACAAGGCCAAACTAGTTGTCTTCCCAAGACGTGCGCGCAAGTTTAAGGTATTTTTATGTTGCCTATCTGCAGTGATTAATTGTTAATCCTTTATCTTTGTTTAGTGCATTTTAACTTTTTTTATTCTGTGTTTCTATAGGCTGGTGATTCTGCTGCTGAGGAGCTTGCAACTGCAACCCAAGTCCAAGGACCATACATGCCTATTTCTCTTGAGAAGCCTTCTGTTGAGCTTGTGAAGGTCACAGAGGAGATGAAGTCATTCAAGGCCTATAACAAGCTCCGTGTTGAACGAATGAATGAGCGCCATATTGGTGCCAGAATGAAGAAGGCGGCTGAGGCTGAGAAAGAAGACAAGAAGTAAGGTTGCTTTTTGAGGGCTTTGTTTTTGTTATTTTACTGGTTTAAGACATTAGTTTTGTTTTCATATTATCAGTGAGTTGAAGCAGGTTTAGAAAACCTTTGGTATTACGTTTGTAATCCTGTTTTGGAGAATTTTATTAAATTGAGAAGTTTTTGCAATTCCTTGGCATTATGAAGTTGTTGGTAAGTTGTTTATTTTGTTTTTAGAAGCTGGTGATTTGGTTAATTGGTTTGTTGTTAGATGCATCATTTGGACTCTTGATAAACAGGATTGAAACAGGATTGTCATGGATATATCCCATTCACATCAGCAATTAAATTAGATGGTTGGATGGTAATAGAATGTGTAAATTTGTTAATTTAATTACTATGGTTAAAAGGAAATGATTTGTGGACGTGATTTCAAATGGAGGGGGATGAACAGCAGACCAATAGAATATGCTTTGTTGTTCACTTCCCCCATCTAAATCTAAGTTACCGATCTGAAGTGATAGGAATCTCTTTTGCGTTAGAATGGCTCAAGATCAATGAAAGCACCGGAATCTTCGTCAAATGTTAGAATCAACTGCGAATATGAGGCAGTAAAATGGAGGTTGCAGAAAACCCCATTATTCGTTCTTGGTGCTTTATCCATTTTAACCCTTTATATTGTGAAAAAGCTTATCAACTTGCTTCCAAAGAGTACATAGATAATATGATTTAGTGAACTGAGAACCTAATAATATTTGAATTCAAGTTAAATTTCAAATGCTTTAGCAAAGTTGGCTCAGTGAGTGGCGAGGATTGATGTTCTGTCTTACAGGTTGATGGCCGCCCTATAAGTTTGAACTCTATTGAGGACTTAATATCCATATGACGTACAAGAGAGTTTACAATGTAATCTTCTGGCCAAAGTAGAAGAAATATATTCCAGGCAAGGATTTTGAAGGTTTAGTTTGGAGTGGCGTCTTCGGAATTGCAATGCCTTTAGCAATAAGCATAAGATAATGCCCATCTTTTGCTCAAGTCTTTTCTCCTCCCATGGATTATTATCTTTTGCTTCGTGTTCATGCGCATGCCAAATCACCATGATATGGCTTCCAGAGCTTTCAAAACCAAATTATTTGAATGCGTGTAATACGTGTGCAACTTCACAGAGAAGCTTTAAGAAACTTAAGATGGATCTGCCACATCCCTGAAGCTTCAGTTCGGTACGGGGATGACTTGGAAAAATGCAAGAATGCAAATACAATGTTTAATACTGTGTTTCCTGTTGAAGTTTGGTTCTTTCCTGCATGCATTACTGTTTGCTGGAACATTTCGCTAGGATGGTTTTCAGGATTCTAGATGAGAGGATTCCAGACAAAGTGCTCTTTGACTTTGAGTGGAAAGCAAGCAAAACGAAAGTACAAGACCTCAAAATTTTTCTCCCTATTTTCCTCCATCGCCAAGCAAGCATATATTCTAACTAGCTAAAAGAAGTGCATTCCATTTATTCTTAGCCCATCTATGTGTTAGTGTGACAATACCAACTATTGGCTTGGAATCTTCTTTAGTTTTCCTATGTTGATAATTCAGCTTTCCGGCCCGCTTCTTTTGCTCCATTCTCCTTTTCCCTGTTAGCTAAATGTCCTTGGCTCGTTTAACATTCTATATTTATGCACCTAGTTCATCCCCAAAGAGTTGGTCATCTCAGTCAGTACTCTCAAGCTTTGCTCAGAGCCATGGATGCAAGGGGGCACTATCCAAGATTGCTCCTTTCGGTCGTATGCATTTCCATTTTACCCACCATTCTCTTCACTAGCTGTGGTATGTAAATTCCCCCCCAATCATATATATCCTTTATTTTTCTCTTTTTGAGTCAGATTCAATTCCAAGTTTTTGATAAATCTACATGAAGGATTTATCATCTAAACATATTTACACTCTCTAAGGTTGAATGTAGTCTGTTAGAGTGTTATTTTTTGCACTATATGTATGGTTCATACATTTGTTTCTTGTGTCTTGTTTTTTATTAGATGCCAGAATTGTGGTTCACATATGGAAGCAACAAGGCTCAAAGCTCCAGAAAAGTCCAATCAGCGACTTGATCAACAGACTAAAAATAACAAATCGTGTCAACTCCAATGTTGATCCATATACCATAAACTCACCTTTCTATTTACCACCTTTTGACTCACTATCACCACTTCCTCAGCCTGACCACTCTCCTCCGTTTTATCAGTACCCTCCATTCAACCCACAATCACCTTCCATCCGTCCGCCATCTCCAATGAGCTACGGACTAGCAACTCCTCCACCACCTGGTTACATTCACACCCCTCCAGCAAATCCCCCTGAACATGGGCTCAGTCCACCTAGCATTTTCCCAAGTCCTCCTCAATATCAGCCTAGCCCACCAAAACATGTTCCCAGCCCCCCTAAACATGTTCCAGGCCCACCCATTTATGAACCGCCAATGGTGAACCCACAGCCTTTGGGGCCGCCCCCTCCAAGCAAAGCGTCAAAGTCTGGTGTTTGGTGTGTTGCTAAGCCGACCGTACCTGATCCGATAATCCAGGCAGCCATGGACTATGCATGTGGGTCTGGTGCAGATTGCAAGTCTATCCAGCCGAATGAGGCCTGCTTTCAACCCAATACATTGATTTCGCATGCTTCATATGCTTTCAACAGCTACTGGCAAAACACCAAGGGGACAGGTGGAACTTGTGACTTTGGAGGGACTGCCATGCTTGTTACCGTTGATCCTAGTAAGTTTGATTTAATGCCACAATCTCTACTTCCCAATATGCAAATAGAAATATTATTCCAAAGATTTATTCATCTTTTCGTGTTTCTTTTTCTTTAAATACTTGGTTAACTTTAAGATATGTATTTGCTCATTTTAATAACATTTTTGTAATGAAAAATGTGACAGGTTCTGAGAAGTGCCAGTTCAGCTACAGTTGATTGCTGAAGAGAGAAAGCCCCAATTTAAAAGACCAATCAACCCTTAAGTCCAGTACTTTCTATTTCAGAGGAGTTTGAACCAGCAGTACTTTTGCTAGACGTGATTCTATTTATAGATGTAGCATTTTGGTTGTTGAACTGCTTAGCTGAAACTGTTAGCTTGTTTGCTACCTTCTGTGAACCGGATAGAGTTTGAAGTATAGTATTTTTATATGATGTATAAACAAGTCCCGGGCAATTTATATTTTACAGCATAATGTATAAACAAAAACCTGCAGAGAATAATGTGGAATAGACTTATTCCCAAAGTTTCTTTGCTGCTCAAGCTGGACATAAACATTAAATTTATTGATTAGGCATTGGCATTTGTCAAAAACTTCATACTATCTTAAAGCACAGGGCAATTAGTTTAATTGATCAATTTCATCATTCTAATTATAGAATTCAATTCTAATCATATCAATTAAGTATACTGGTTTTAAAATATTTATTTAAATTATGTTTCTTACTGAAATCTGGTATTGGTACATTAATCTGATTGACATTTATATTGTCAACTGTGCCAAATCAAATAAGTTTATCATCCTTAGCCTATAGTTAAATCAAAGCATCAAACTAAGTTGTTAAATTTATAGAACAATGTAGGTTCAATTCGAAGAAGAAATTAAAAGTTTTCAAGAAAGGCAACAAAGAGATTTTTTTTTCTCTAAAAATGGCTGAAAAAAAATAAACTTCTAGATTTTCAAGAGTAATATATACCTTTATACTCACTAAGCAATATCTACCTATTAGAGATTTTCTTGTACATACCTTTCAACCCGTTAATTTGCATTTGTAAACTTGATTAAACTTAATACAATGATGAAGAAAAGAAAAGATCACGAAATAAATTAAGAAATCCCACTACCAATTACATTAATAATTACAAGAGGAAAGCCATCCCAAAACAAAGGTTCTTCGAGGTCAGTTGCAATTGTAGCAATGATGATTGCAGCATCATTGGAATATTCATATATCTGACGAACCTTCACATTTTGAAAATTTCAAATATATTCATAGCAATCTGTGAGAGTACTTGTATATACTTCTAAAAATGGTGTGGCTTGTTGACTGGCAAGCATTTGGATCACGTGTGATTGATATATATCCTACGATTTCAATATAATTGATGCCATACGTTATAGCTATAATGAGCCATGGTGCAAAGCAGTCAATTCCACCATTGTAAGGTCTTTGCAATTTGGCAACTGTCTTGCAGAGGCTACTTTGAATACAACGTTTTGATCACGAAGAATGAACCCAGAGCCACCACCGTGAAGACCAATTACATCCAACAAAATAGAGTTTCTATGAGTCATCAGATGCTAGAATCCATGAGACGCGATTCTCCAACTTATCTTGGTTATTATGTAAGATTTATTGTGAAGAACTTGTTATCAAAAGAGGGTTGAAGTGATCACTCATGAGCAATATATGACCTTAAGAAGGCTAATGACTTGTACAAATCCACTCTATGAACATAATTAAGGAAAAAGAAGTTATACATGATAAGAGGTACATTGATATGGCACACAAACTAGGTCAAAATACAATATCCAAAATATCGACATAAAATTTTTTATCATATTGATTTTAGTGAAGTATATTTCTTTTTAGTTATGGTAACAAATAAGATAATTAGTTTTTTATTTTCTTTCATAATTTACAAAGACCAACAATAGGATTTGTTTTTACAATCTAGTACAACCAGCTGTAATAGAGATTAGTGGTCAACATGTTGATCTAGCACTATTAATGAGTAGGTTTTCATTTGGTGCACCATACCGAACCTGTAAGTGACTAGATCTAATTACAAATACTCTAGATGGGAACAATCAATGATAAATGTGAGGATCTATTGCTATTACAACCAGATCAGTAGTCGAGGATTATGCATGAAATTAGCATATAAAAAAAATAGTGAATTGTGACTTAACCATCAATCACGAGCATCAAAGATGATAAAAAAATATAATTGGTTATGTTAATTTTGATAATCTTTTTGGGTAAGGACATTCGATGTAAAATGTTTATACTCTTGTTGATATTTGATAACATAACACATGTACATGAACATTTAAGTACAAGAAATGGTTTTAACATATTGTTTTGTTACCTGACCAAGATTTCGGTGGTAACAATTTGTTACCCAATTTGAAGTGCAAATACCTAAACTAAGGAGTCTAGATGAATTACCTTGAGTAATAAATAGGGCAATGTGACAAGGAGAATAGGAACAGATAACCTGTTTTAGCAAAACCTCAATATCACTTAAAGTGAAAGCAGTATTTCTTTCTGATGCAACAATGATGATGGATGAAGATCCATATGTTTAAAAATCTCCCTTAGATTTAGAGGTTCCACCTAGAGGTTTTAGTGGGTACACATGACTATTTTAAATAATAATTCCAACCTTGCAACAATGCTTACAGTCAATCGTGCAACAATCAGAAAAGTTGTGACCTTTTTGGCAATGATTCTTGCAGAACTTAGCTCCAGACTTATGGTTTGATGGCCTAGAATGAGTTGTAGCAAGAGCAACGCCAGTTTGTGAAAATTTATCTAGGCCAAAATGCGTCTCCTCAAAAGTAGTTTCTTAGACAGTAGCATCTAGTGTCAAAAGTGGTATTCAATTAGCAATTATGTATTGACAGCTTCATATTCCGGACGAAAATCCTTAATAACTTGAACAAGATGAAGACAATCCTTATTGATTTTAACATGAGTAAATTAATTCCAAATAGGTTAAACTTGGGAAAAAAATTTGATCGTTTTTAGGTCGGATTGCAATTTGAGAAGTAGTCCACAACTGATAATAGTGAGCAAGTCTAGAAAATTTATACCTAGTGGCTTGAAAATCTCAAATCACTTTCGTTCTCTCAAAATCAGCAAATTGAATATGACTAGTCGGAACAGAGGTGTTAATAAAACCACGTCAGGATATGATGATTTTAACTATGCTAATCTTCAAGTAGCAATCTCATCAACCCCACTTGTGGGTTGAACAATGTCCTTGGTGACATTGTTCCAAAGTTTGCATCCAATATAAAAAGTTCTGATACCTTGGATCCATATTCCCTTGTGTATAATAGTATTTTTGAACTTTACAGTTGTTAGATAGATAAGAACTTATTTTTTAAAAAAATAAATAAATTTAATCTAAGATTAGAATAACATTTTAAAAATTTGATTCAAATAGATGACCAATCACATTTAAATAAAAAAATAATAATGACAACCCTAGTACATATCGAACAGTTAGATTTTCAAACTTATAGATTATGACATTGTTCATTAAATTGTATTTTCCCAAAAAATTATTTTAACTATGGATATTGTGTGGATAACATCAAAAAATAAATTACAAAAACTTTTATGCAAACAAACTTTAAGTTAATTTATTTATTTTAAAATATATAAAAAATAAATAGTAAAACACTATTTTTTTTATTTTTCTTAACTTAATTCTTGCTAAAATAAGCTTAACTTAATGTATATTGGCCCCCTCACTTTGAATCTCGGCTTTGTCCTAAGAAGATTTGAAACAATTTAAAAAGTCAGGAAAGGAAAATAAAAAAAATCAAACTCTTTAAGTCGTGAATTAAATAATTTTTTTTTAAAAAAATCATAAACTAACGAATGATCTACATTTGGAATTCATTGTTCAGCCTTATTAAGGGTGCTATTGTGACCTTTCCATAAATTCAATCAACTAAAATTAAAGGGTTTTACATTTAGCTGATATACCTCTAGCACTTAGGTGGCATTCGTTTTTACATTTCCAGTTATCTTTCCTTTTTTTTTTTTCCTATAGTTCTCTTTCTTGTCTTCTTTCCCTCACATCCTTCCCAACCCTCCTACCCTCCCAACTAGACATTAATTTAAATAATTATACCTTTTCTTTATTTGGTATTCTAGTTGTTAATATAACTAGTGGAAAAGCTGCGGAGCAGGTTTATAGAATTTTATAAAGACTTATATAGGTGTATTTTTTCACAAAATGTATTGAGTTTACAAAATTTTATGAACAATTGATGTTGAAATTTTATAAAATGTATTGGGTTAACAAAATTTTGTAAATTTTTATGTTGATTGTAAATGGATGGTAAAAAATTAATAATCAATGGTAAAAATTGTGAATGTTCTTTCCCAATGTGCTATGATGAAAGCAACATAACTAAAAAGGAGTCAAAGGAATCGAAGGATGGAAGAAAAAACAAAAATCCTGTAATGCGTTTGCCATTTTCTACGAAAAGCTGGAAAAGACCCCCCATTATCAGAAGCAAACCGAAAACATTTGTTAAATACTCCTTTTTAAAAATTGTTTACCATTGTTATCAACTGTGACTATTATCATTGATACGGTAAAATCAATATACTCTAGTTCTTGACGACTGATATTTAACATGTTTACAAATAACATTTGCGGTATAGTTGAAGCCAAATATGAGATTCTTACAATATTCAATGCAAAGAAGTCTGCATATCCTTTCAATTTAGTAGTATACTGCTTTGTAATTAACTCAAGTTTTTTGTTTTGATCATCCATAACTGCATAAAGAGACTGATTCTATAATATTATTGCTACTTAATGAAAAGCCATGTTGCGTCTCATTGTTTTGACCTCCTCTGTCTCATTATTTTGCCTCCTCTAAACAATTTCTAATGGTAAAAAATGAAGTAATGAATTTGGTATCTACACGAGTACAATGACAGAATATTTTAGGCCAAAAAGTTACATATATATATATATATATATAAAATAAAATAACAAATTGCTCTGGTTAATAGGTTAAAGAATTTTCATGCATTTATTTTGAACATGCATACCACAACTTCACAACATCTCAATTTACGACCATTTAATAGTAAAATATCTACATTAGAAGGGTTGCTGAAATCCCAACAATTTATAGTAGGAACCATAAATCTAAATACATTAGCAATCAAGTAACTTCAAAGACTATGTGATAAATTTGCTTAAATCCCTATATATTTCCAAGACCTCCGGAACCTAGCTAGCGAGAGACAAGCATGCATGAGCAAAATGACATATGTGATGAATTTGCAGCTAATCAAGTAACTTTAGAGACTTCAATTATAGTTAGAACCTTATCAAATTTCTTTGCTCGAATAAAAGCTTTCATGACCATACTATAAGTAATCCCATCGGGACTAATACCCTTCAAAACAATTAGAAAATCGAAATTAGAAAAAATGTATCTTGAAAGATTAATTAATGGAGGAAATCAAGAGTCCTACGTTACAAATTATCATGCCTGCCCCAAAATGAAAAAAATAAAGACAAAACAAAAACACT